GGTGACACTTGGAATCCTAATTGTATGACTAAAATTGCAATGTAAGTAAATTTTAAACATATCAGAAACTTTTTTCCTGTGCAAAGAAAGGGGAAAAAGGGAGAGAAGGTTGATGCATGAAAGTGAATTCTAAAACCAGTTAAGTTTGATCTCAGAATCCAGATATCAATGATATGGCAAACAGATACAGATGTGGATGATAGGCCAACATAATGAAACTAAATCAAAGCATTCCCTAACACATTTCTCTCTCAAAACATTTTGTGACAAATGATGCTAATGTTGAAAATCTTAAAAAATCAATTACTACAGTGTACATTAATGTCTACCACTAAGATTAATTGTGTTCAAGTTGTTAAATAACTACGTACATCAATCCTTTTTTCCAATTCATTAGTGATAGCTGCAATCACCAATATTGAATTTCTGTTCATTGCCTCTCAGTTAAGTTTTAAAGAGGCATGCATAGTTCGAATCATCCTCTTTACCTCACAGAAGAGGAACTCATATGAAGTAACAGATATTTTTCAAAACAGCAAAAACCAAACATTTGTCAATTGAATTTGGCAAATGTAAAGCCAGTAATGCTCTTGCATAGATATTAGGCAAATTAAAGAGAAAAATTCTACAAAATAAAACTTTTTAATTTTTATTTCGTGCAAGTGCCCAAATTTTATGAGCTACTGAAACCGATGAGATTTCTAAGTCACAAGTTCGCAGCTCACAAGCAAATGGATAGTGAAATTGCCAAACTGCACATCTCGGTTTGCGGAGTTGCAGACTTCCTTTCATCCTTTATTTTTTAAATGGAGAACTATTCAAAGTCAATTCTTAATAACTTCCCGATTTTTATTCCGTGTCTGAAACCAATTCTGAGGAAACTTCAATGAATGATGTTCATTGGTTCTCCTTTCAAAACTAAAACAGGAGCGGATAAGTCGAAACAATGTAAATGAGATACATACAAAGTTTCACTGTTGAAATGGAAAGGCTGACTCTATGAGTAATTAATAATCTTTAATTAAATGTGTTACCCAGTAAAAATCGGCGGATGTGATCAACATCTAGAGAATGCCTTCAATTTATTCATTATTTATTTTGCCAGGCATAGTGATGTGTTGGTTCATGAAGCTACGCTTGAGGATGGACTTAAAGAAAAGGCTGTGAGTAATGGACACTCAACCCCATCAATGGCAGTAGAATTTAGTCATAAAATTGCTGCTAAAACACTGATTTTAAATCACTATAGTCAGCGATACAGATCTCCACATACTCCGGTCCCAAAGGCTCTTGCACAGGAGCAGGTAATAAATTTGTTTAGAATTTTACCATGAACACCCAAAAAAATTTCATTTTTTGCGTTGAGAGAATTTTATTTTCTTGCGTGAAAATTCAGTTGCTTTACAAGAGAAGATTGAACTTTTTTATTTTAATCATAACTCTGGATCATTATTATTAGAATATTGTATTTATACATTCATCCCTTTTTTGCTTCCTAAAATTGCCTAATGACATCTGCTCAGTCATAAAAATTTTCAAAAAAAAAAAAAAATTCCTGTCACTCCACTCTCACCAATACCTAATTCTCTCTTTTTTTTCTCTCTTTTAGGTATCATCTACGGACGTACTTTTGGAAGAGGCCAAAAATGCTGTCAAAAACTATCCAGGCTTTGAGTGTTCTGTAATTGCATCCAGAGATTTAATGACACATGAAGTTACATTATAAAAGGTTCAAGAAATTCCATCCACTACATTTCCTGATTAAAATACAGCTGTTGATCTTACCTCCTTTTGTAAGTCTTTCATTCCTGAATTAAGATGATTTCAGAAAAAATTACGTAGGATCTCATTCAAATAAATGTATGTACTTAAATTATAGAAAAGAAAAAAAGTGACCCAGTAATTTTCACCATGATTGGAAAAGTATCAGGTGGCTTTAGGCTCTTTGTTATTTGTTCATCAAGAGAAACGCCTTTTCCAAGCATTTCAGTCTCTAATATTAACCCTCGAAGTGGAAATGAGTTTTTTTTATAAATTTATATTTTAAATATATTTTATTTTACTATCTCTATTCATATTTTTCCTCACCAACTCTATGATAACCTTAAAATTAAAAGTTTAGTATCAGTGAAGAAGTATCGTTATGAAGTGACATTCTCATTGAGATGATTCACATTAAAGTATGATCAAGTCGGCAAAACCATATTAATTATTAAACTATCTTTTGCGGTATTTTACCATCATGAAATTATTATGTCCAAGAGAATTCTGCTATAATATAAAGGGTCTAGTGTTCTAGCAAACGGTTGAGTGTACAGGATATGAGCCCTTATTTTCCAAAATTTTGAATCTTTGGAATGCTCGGGAGAGCAATTCCGTCGCATTGCTACCATTTCCCTCATGTCTAGATTGAGTTATGTCTGAATGAAACATTTTAAGTTTTGTAAAACGTATTAAAGTTTGTTTTTTCCTTTACAACTTCACAGAGTTCAAATCTACTTCTTAACATAATCACCGAGGAGATCCAAGCATTTTAAAAGCTGACCCTGAATTTGTGAATCCTTTAATCAAATATCTTAGCAGGTCGGTTATTGAATTCAAGTAAACTGGGTGGCAGTTGTGCATCCAGGGATTGCGAATGCGCTCCTGCCAAGTGCTAAACGAAAGAGCATGGCCATGCCACCACCTTGTTGGACTCAGCTGCTTCTATCTCCTACTGATTAATGACCGAGGCAGTCATGCACATTAGGAGTGATCTGCAATTTTATTTACCACTCAGTCGAGTAGCTCAAACTGACTTCTACCAAAGGCCCATGTCCCTCCCCCACCCTGTCGCCTTAGATGAACAAACAGGGTATTAGAGTGGCATGGCCATGCTTACAAATTTCATGGGCACCTTAAAATTTGTCCTATTACATCAGCAATCAAACCTAGGCCTTTAATGCTGACAATGAACCGCCGTGGCCATTGCAACACTCTGAGGATGCTCATTAAGGCTTCCAAGTCAGGCTTCAAAATTCTAAATTGGTGAAAAGAAGAAAAACGCAAAAGATTGTTAAAGTATCAAACAACAGATTCTTATTATTTCTTGATAACTCCCATCTTTGCAAACAAAGGTAAGCGTTAGCTTAACTTGAAAACCTTGCATTTTGATTAGAATTTATTGAAAATTCCATCCGTTTGAATTAACATATATGAGTTAAATTCATTTGCTCAACATTTTCATACAATGAGTGTATTCTTTAAGAAGGATGGAAAGAAAACCTTGCATTTTGATTAGAATTTATTGAAAATTCCATCCGTTTGAATTAACATGAGTTAAATTCATTTGCTCAATATTTTCATACAATGAGTGTATTCTTTAAGAAGGATGGAAAGAAAACCTTGCATTTTGATTAGAATTTATTGAAAATTCCATCCGTTTGAATTAACATGAGTTAAAATCATTTGCTCAATGCTCAATATTTTCATACAATGAGTGTCTTCTTTAAGAAGGATGGAAACTAATCACTGACTTTTCCGAGAAATTGCGGACAAGTTATTCTCAACCCAAGAAGTAAGTATGACATAACCAGACATTTTTCTCTAAAATAAAGCTTGGGGCCTTAAAAATATTTTTCTTCCGAGAAGTTAGCACCTATCCCATTACCATAATTATATTTTATCGGGCCGACTAGCGATGATCATCATTTTGAAATATCCCGCCATTTTTTAAAATCCGGTCTTTTGCCGCCTTCTGGGTTGCCTACGTCACACCACACCCCTCCTGACGGCAACAAAAACAAAATCAGCTGTTTGAAAACGTAAACATTGAACATGTATGAGAAACGTTTTTTAAAGTGGCTTTCGAATGGTAAAACTTAGATCTTTACTTTATTTTTTGTGGTATAACTACTCTTATTCTCAGTGTTTTAGTGATTTTCCTCCTGTCTTTCAAGTATGGTTTTCAGTGTCCACAGAACGCACTCAGAGTCTCTTGAGCAACCCATCAGTTGATCGACCAGTGGGAATGTCACATCAGTAAAAGCGGTTTAAGCCACAGATTGTCTCCAATGAACTTTTCAATCTTTTCTAAGAATTTAAAACCCTTCAGTCACTATTGATTTTGTTCATGTCATTCCTCAATGTGGCAGCAGCAAGCATTCGTCATTGACGCTAAGTTCAATGCACACAGAGCCCAAAATCATCCAAATTTCAGTAAGTTATCATTATTTCTCATTAAGAATCTTTACTTTTGTTCCACCGACTATGAAGTCAAATATTGATTCAGTTTTATGCATAAGGCTCTAATAAAATTAAATGTCGGTTTAATTGTTACATAGGGACCTACTTTCTGATAACGTAAAAGATGTAGGTAGTCCAAGGATATGAGATTATGGTGCTGAAATCTCGTGAAGAACCCTCTACAAGTGGAGGAGGTATGCACACGTATTGAGCTTTTTGAGTATTGTAGTATTTAGGCTCTCGAGGCATTGTCTTTAAGCGGCTATCTGATTAACCGTAGGCAGACATGAAAACTCCTTAAAATTGAGGACTATCTATGAACGTGTCTCCCCTACACTCTCAAGCAAAACTTGCTCTTTGCATGTGAAAACAAAAATCAAACTTTTGTTTGTGTTGAAACTTGTAAGGTGTGTAAAAATTCATTGACTGCTTAACTAGCAGGTAGAGCTCAAAAAAGGAAACGCTACGCAAATATGCTATTTTCAGAAAATTTTGGATGAGTTTTAAATTATTATATTCTACATCATATATGGATGTATTTCTACCAAACGGAACTAAGTGTCATAGGGGGAGGAAGAAAGAGGGGGGCTTGGATTGGCGAATTTGCGGAATGCGATGCTCGTTCCGTCCTATACTCGCAATGCTTTTCCATGGCGCTTAGTTCTGTTTGACAGAACGCACTATCCGGGATTCTAAAATCCTCAAAAAGAACTCAAATTGGAGCTTAGTTCCGTTTAACAGAAATATGTCCACATGTAGTCACTTGTGCACTTAAGTTCTCGTGATGTTTTAATTAATTTTTCATTGCTTACTTCCAGGAACCTTGTATATTCGTAGAAGAAACCAACTTCTCCGAGATTATTCCAGACCAGATGTAAGTGCATCATCTTTATAATTATCCATTAAGAGGTCTTCGCAGCCATCATTTAGTGATTGATGAATCATTGAAGTGTTTTTACCCACAACTTTTTTTTGTTTGTAATTATGGGTTGAGGAGTGAACATTTCCACTATCCCTTTAAAACTATTTGCTTTGCATTGCTGCTGAGGGTTCCCTGGGATGGCAGGATGATTCATTTCAAAATTACAAGTAAAGCAGCAAACATTGCTACTTTAAATGCGCTCGCATCTGTGTAAAAGAGCCCAGTGTTGTGGGAGAAAATTTTCCATAACTTTTTGCAAATGCACAGAGGGTGAGATCTATTAATTCCCATTTTCTAGTCATTGTTTAAATAACCTCCGACCTTATGGCATTGTTGGCATCTTTAATTTACGAAGTCCTTCTATCTCCATTTTTCTTCAAAATTCGAAGTAAAGAAAACTGTCATGAAAAGGAATGTGACATATTTTAGTTAATTAATTAAGATATTCTTTCTCTGTATTACTTATTCATTTCAGGAAAATGGTTTAAGAAGCCAGTATTTGAAACTAAGAACTCAACTTTTGCAGCAACGTTACAATGTAGATTCCATTAGCACAAGTCGAAGTATCAGTGCCCGAAGCAGTAGCAGAGTGAGCTATGTAAGTATTAATTCTAATTTCTCCTTTTTATTTATCTTTGGGTGCATTTCAACTACCATAGAAAACTGAATATTTTCTCTTGATGACTTATGAATGTATGTATCTTACTTTCTCGCTCCCCTTGTTTTAAATTTTGTGGTTGTTTTTCTTGGATATTATCAGGGTATTTTATTTGCGCTCGACTAAAGAGCAATGGGTACACCCAATTGTCAATTACACTAACTTTGAGTTCACTCTTTTTTATCCAGTCTCTTGATTTTAAAAAAATTCATATGTCATCAGAGGGAAGTATCCAGTTTTCTATGATAGTTGAAATGCACCCAAAGATGAAAGTGAGGAAGCTCTGAGTCTACGTAATTGACAACTGGGTGTACTCGTTGCTTTAAAATTTTACTGTTTAGAAAGATCCATTTCCATCCTTAATTTGTACCATAGAATATTAAAAAATTCCAAGTTAAAATATTCATGACTTTTTCTAGAATACTCAAGTATTTTATTAAAATAAACGTGCTTTGAATGCTCACATAATGTTTTTCTTCAACGCATCAAATCGGAATTCTAAGCATCAATTTCATACATTAAGAATAATTATGCAAAAAAAAAAAAAAAAAAAAAAAAAAAAAAACCATTCCCTAAACCTAGGTACTTGTGCCTGAGAATTTGTAGCTGAATATCCTATATATTAAAATGCAAAGTTCCGAATCTTGGGGCATTAACTTTGAGAGAACCACCGGACCGATTTGCGTGATCTTTTTTTTAAATGAAAGCCCCTGAGCTGTAGATTTGCAGGCTGTGATCGTTTTTTCGATTTTCTCAAATTTTCTTCGATGCATTAAAACGGAGGTCCGAATCTTTAGACGTTAACTTTGAGAGAACCACTGGACCGATTTGCATGATTTTTGTTGTAAATGAAAGTCTGTGATCTGTAGATTTGCAGACTGTGATCGTTTTTTCGATTTTCTCAAATTGTCTTACTTTTATCGACGAGTGAAGTTTAGCTGGGCTCAAATTTTCTCCCATTTATTCAGACTAAAGTCCGCATTTTGGGACATTAACTTTGAGAGAACCATTTTGAGAGAACCCCGATTTGCATGGGGTTTTTTTTAAATGAAAGCTTCTGATCTGTAAATTTGCAGGCTGTAATTGTTTTTTCGATTTTCTCAAATTTTCTTACTTTTATCGACGAGTAAAGTTCAGCTGTTTCGAGCGGTCATCTGGCCGCTACCTGCTTGCCCGTCCCTAGATACCCCCACTGGGGTCTCAGCTACCCCTCCCACCACGTTCTTTCGGCTATCTCCGTTTTCTTTCGTATAGCTTTCCTCCCACCAACCTCAAAGAAGGTTTGGGTCGCATTGTCGTTCGTCACTCACCACCCACATTCCGTCGCAATCTCTCAGCTACTCCGCTTCACCACTTCTTGATAGGCATCCTGGCGGTTTGACTGACCCTGACTTATTAACTGCAGCGGTGCGCACACGTATTGCTAACAACATGTATTGTTATGGACATTTCATTCTTATTTGTTCTTTTCTCTTTCCACCTTTGTTTCAAATTTGCTTCGTTTCTTCCTCTCTCTTTATTTTGTTGGTCGGTCGACTACGTTGATCGGCTTTTTGCTATTGAAAGCACATTAAGACTTCATGGATTTTCAATATCATCATTTGATCTTCCGGAATTGCTTCCAATTAACCTGAATCTTCAAGGGTCAGAGCCTGACTCTCCTCCCCCTAAAACTATGATTCCATGATTTCTGCCGCTAACCCAGAGCAACATCAAATTATTTCTGAAATAATTAGTTTCATCCAAAATCCATCTTACACGTGTAATGCGATTTTCATTGATGGTCCAGGAGGATCGGGAAAAACTTTCGTTTAAGAATGTCTTACTGCGTATTGTACAAAGGGAAACTTAGACGTCATCTCCGTTGCTTGGACAGGTATCGCCGCATCGTTGCTACCTAACGGTCGGCCGGTTCATAGCAAATTCAAAATTCCTTCGGTTCTGAATGAGAATTCTGTGTCGAGTCTCACGGTTAGCTCAAGAGAGGCTGAGACTATTCGGAAAACAACGATCATTTTTTGGGGCGAAGCTCCCATGTTTATCACGCATGCTCTGGCATGCATCAACCGACTTCTTATTTAGAGAATGGGTAATGATATCCCTTTTCGAGGA